GGTGCTTTGAGCACCACAAGCTGAGTGCCCTCTAGTTGCAAAAAATTTAAGAGAAGGCAGACAAACATCTCTACGGCCGGTATCTGCAACACTCAGCAACTCACACTAAAACAATTTAGTTTGATCAATAGCACTACACATAAGAGGAAAAATATGTATTTTGTATTTTGGGGTGAACAGTCCCTTTAAACGAAAGCTTTCCCGCTGCAGAGTTGGGAAAGTGTCTAAGCAGTGTTAAGGGAAACAGCTAACTATAGTATAAGAGTTTGTGGTGGCAGTCCATCCTCCAGTGTGAGTCAGGCACATCATCTTTACTGCATTCAATCTTTGAATAATGCATGCTAGCGAGCCGCATGCATCAGCAGCAGATGCACACGCCTCTTTGGTATTTCTTCTCCTCACAGCCAGACTGTAGGCACCCCATCTGCACCCATCAGCACGAAAAATAGGGGGCAGCAGTAGTGTTACTGTGTCCCCAAAAAGTTGTGGCTTGAATGTTGCACTTCCACAAAGGGAACACCGCCTTCCTGACAGTTCAGTTTTAGGATGATTTTGTCAGCGGTGGATGTCATGGCAGGATAGAGATTTCTCCTGCTGCTGTAACTACTCGTCACTGTTTCAGAGACGTGAGAGATGAAAGACGGAGCTGGTAGTTGAGCACCTCAGCTCTCCCTCTGCATTTCGATGCCAAAGATCGCAGCTCATTTTGTGCCATCTGCAGCACTCTGAGGACACACAGCTCATTTGAGAAGCTTTACCATGAGGTTACATGACCTCGGAGAAATCCCCCGGGCTCTCTTTGCATGTCTCCAACTGTGTAGTGTTAGTCATCATCAGAAGGATCAGGGAGCTGCTGCGCTTTCTGTGGTTTGACAATGTGAGATCCAGAACCTTTTGCAGCCTCCACAGATGTTTTGTTTGTTTCACATCTCTCAGTTGTTGCAGCTTTGTCTGAGATTTAAGGATTATGTGCTTTGAGTTTTAGACAGAGGCATTTTTCATCTTTTATTCTTTCGTGCTGGTCATGGCCGAAGAGGTCTGGCAGTCGTAAATCAACTGCTGCCATGTAAAACCTGTACGCCAAAAATCAAAGAACTTGGCAGTCACATTATAGCGTCTGGAGTCTGTGCTCTCTGTATGAATGCTCACTGTTATTTCCAAACACTTCAGCTGCATCAAGATACCTTTCATACAACAGACAGAACAACTGAGGGTAATAAAAGTAGCATTTCTGAGACAGTGCTTGTCTCTAGCTCTCAGAAAAAGCCCCACAAAATAGATTGAAGGACTGCTTGTTTTTCCTTGTGACTCACAGTGGCCTCGGACAGATTGCTTTTGTCAAGTACATAAGAATGCCACTATAAGAGCCCTGCAGAGCTGTAAAAAAACTGCTGAAAAGTATGACACTACAAATAAAATCTTAGCTTCAGAATGATACATATTATTACCATGACATTGAGTTCTGTTCTCATAAGACTTGCAGGCAGAGTGAGGATGAAATCAGCAGAAAACCGGCAGGGGAATAACATCTGAGAGAGCTGCAAGCTTCAGTAGGAGCAGTCTATTATCTATAATCATTTGGGAGGCTATCTGAAACAAGACCTTTAAACCACAGCCCAACCCTCTAAAGACTGTCTCCCCACTAATAAACTGGCTTTTCAATTAGCACCTATCTGACGTACAACGATAACACAAAACCAATTACACGCTGTGCTGCAGATAACTCGTAATCCACTTAATAGGTCTGATTTGACTTCTTCTTTTTCTTCTCCCCTTCCACCACTGCAGCCCCGGGGCTTTTTGCTCTCCAACCAGGACAAGGTATCACTTTGAATTATCAGTATTGAAGGCACATCCGAGATAGCGGGCTGGCCAGTCTCCTGGAGGTCCTGATAGTGTTTTTATGTCTGTGTAGGGGGTGTTGATGACAGCCTTGGAGGTGAGACGGGCAGAGCTAAGTTGTCTCTTAGGTGCTAACACATGGATTCACAGTACAGCATCACGCCTCCAATACACTTCAGTGCTCCTTTCTTAGATAATGTTGTTAATTAGCTTTGACCTTAACCACAAGTTTACATGCAAAATATTCATCTTTTTTCTGTATTTTCTTTGTATATTTTACACAGAATGTATTTTATCTATCAAGTCCCCCTCCACTCAAAAATGTGGTGTTATGTTTATGTCCACTGAAATGTTTGACCTTGACTATACTGACTTCTATCTGTGCAAAGATTGTCACTAGAGAGGTGGTTTTAGATTCCTCTAATGAAAAGAGACATTTACCTGGAAACACATTCATCTGTACCCTGCTACAACGTGACACTGTTGTAATTAAACAAGAGGCCAAATGAAGAAATAATCCAGTTTATAATTCATTATGCACAAAAATGTGATTCACTTTATAAGTAACGAAATGTAACCATTCCTAATACCCTTATCCTGACCTTAACCGTCACTCTTTTATTGTAATACAACACGGCTCACATAGCTGCTCCAGCTGCAGCTATATCTACTCGGATTAAAACATTCCACGTACATACTAGATTAGGTATGTCACATATACAAAAGATAATCGCTGTCTAATACCGGAAGCACTGTTCAATGGGGAAAATGACTTCAACACAACACCAGCAAAGAAACGTGAAACCTCATGCGTGTGCAGTTTTTGCATGTAGACCGGATCCTGGAGCTTCCCTCTACTATCCAAAAAACGACACCATAGCAGATATTATTATATGTTTCACAACCATTAACGCTGCGTCACTGCCAGTTACAAGCTAACAAGCTAAACTGGGCATACACTTTAATTCCAGCTAACATTGTACGAGTAGATGGTCTGCGATGTCAAGCCAAAGATCATGATTTATGTGCTCACACTATGTGGTCCAATTGTCAAGCCACGACATGAATGCTTTCACACTATACATGTTAAAGAAAATAAACAGCTTGCCATTCCTTGAGCGCTGTTCTGGCTATTGGCAATTGTCAATAAAGATTTGTTTGGAAGCTCCAGGGCAGGTTGAGGTTTGTTTTCTGGTGGAGGTATGATTCACAATGTTGTAGAGACAGAGGTCCCAGAAAGAGCTTTAACGTCCATTTCTGCAAAACAAAGCAAAAACAGGTCAGTCCAAGTTCTGATTCCCCCTCTCTGTCTGTCTGTCTGTTTGTATCTAGCAAGCAGCACCAACATACTTGTTTGATATACATAGGATCAATTAAGAAAAAAGGAACTGACCATCAGAAAGCTGAATCTCTCCAATGTTTCCTCTAACTGTAACATTAGCCATCTTGATCTGCACTGCTCTTTCTTTTTTTTAAGATATTTTTTGGGCATTTTTAGCCTTTATTTGACAGGACAGACAAGCATGAAGGGGGGAGAGACAGAGGGAGTGACATGCAGCAAAGGGCCACAGGCTGGAGTCGAGCCCGGGCCGCTGCGGCAACAGCCTTGTACATGGGGCGCCTGCTCTACCACTAAGCCACCGACGCCCCCTCTTTCAATGGTCAACCTAGCACTAGTCTTGTAAAGTCAGACCTGTCTCCACACTTTGTTTTAGTGCTGTGCCAGTGCTGGAGAAACTGAACAGAGGCAGAGGCCAGATCCAGAAAGGGACAAAGAGAAGGTCTGCTGCCAGTTTCCTTTTTTTATTCCTTTTTTATTTTATCTTAAGTGAGAAAATTTCCCATGAAGACAGCCTCTCACTGCAGCCTGTTTTATTTTATTCTGAAAATGCTGGTGTGCAACCCGATACTGTGGACGATAAACAAGGTGCAGACTTCCCTCTGTGTCACCGGTAACGAGGAAATATAGTGAGTGCTGGACGGAGCTAGCCTGAGTGTCAGACTGAAACTCTCCATTGAAGGCGATTTACAAGGGGGAGGGAATTTGATTTTTCCCTAACCAATCAGTAGAGGTCAACGACTCACCCAGAATCTGACGTCATTAGTATCCATGCCTCGGGGGTGCCGACAACAAGCGAGCATTGCCCATTTAAAATGTCTCCGTCGTCGTGCACGCCCAGCTGCATCGCCGTTAAATCCAGTTTAGCAGCTTCCTTAATTTGGTCCTCCATTAACGCGAGTAGTGGCGAAATACCTTGATAGCATCATTAATGTGGTCTGTAGGATCTGTAGCGGTCGCCATTGTTGCTATCCTCACCA